TTTCTTTATAGCAGTCTCTCCTTTTTCCTTAGACTTCTATTAACCTTGAAATCAATGCAAATGAAATAGTATAACAATATCTAATATCAGACACATTAGAGATAAATGCATGATTAACAAGACAGCTACAGTATAATGGATGTGTGCATGAGATCCTGTTACATACAGTTTGAAGACAGTGTGAGAGCACTATATAGAGGTGAAACAGTGAAGAAGGAAAAAGAAAAAAGGTGGAAAATAAAATGCAAAAGCACTAGTTTCAGTTTATTTATAATATTCAGATCTGATGTTTACACTGAATCAGGTTTCTTCCTGTTAAAAGGGAGTTTTTCTTTCCCACTGTCGCCAAAGTGCTTGCTCATAGGGGGTCATCTAATTATTAGGGTTTTCTCTGTATTATTGTAGGGTTTTTATCTTACAATATAAAGTGCCTTGAGGCGACTGTTGTTGTGATTTGACGCTGTATAAATAAAACTGAATTGAACCTAAGAACTCATGTATGCTTTTTAATTTTTATTTATTTTTTATTTTATTTTATTTTGTCAGAGAACACAACATAAATCAATAATAACCAATAACATTAATGCTGAATTAGCACAAGTAACAGTAAAGCACAGCAGATACAGAGCAGCACAGAAGGCATGCCTTTTTGGGCAGTACAGTGAAGTATGACCCCAGCCTAAAACTATTCCAGTAATGCTGATCGTGGGAGGGAGAATAAGGGACAAACAGCTAACCCTTACATGCTAACCCGCACACTCAGAAAACATGGAGCTTTTGATGGACAGCTGGTAATTGTGGCTGACTCCTGCGCAGAGGGCGGGTGGATGTCTGGTTTGACACATTGAAAGGACAAAGGTTAAACAACAGCATTTTCACTTTCCTTCTCGCTCTGTTGTCCTCCTACATCTCCCAGCTCTCAACTTTTTTCTTTAGCTGTTCTGTTAAGGGGTCATGTCCGTTATTCCTCTGCCTCACTGAAGGCTGATTGGCTTTATTTTCCTGACTCACCACCAGGGGTCAGCTACCTGAGTGTCTGGCAGAGAGACAGACGAGAGCCAAACCTTACGTGCTAGTAAAATCCTATTGTGAGAGGAAAAAAGGGGGTGGGTGTGTGGGGTGGGGGGTGGGGGGTGTCCTGTTTGCTTATTTGATCTTGAAACAAAATCTATTTGCCATTCATCATACATTTATATAAAAAAAAGGAAAAGAAAAAAGAAACACTACACTCTGACATTCCTCCACAAACACACACCTACAATTAGGAGGGAATCTATTGTCCTACTAAGTCAGGGGGCTGTTGCTAGGCAACCTCTATTTCTAAGGTGAAAAAGACAGCGCTGAGGGAGAATAGTGAGAGACAGGGAAAGCTAGATAGAGGGAGGGATGTAATGAGCGTCTGAAAGTAGGGGGAGGAGGGGTTGACCACAGGAAACGCTCATTTAATCATTCAAACCGCATGCAAATAAAGACACTCATCCTCTAACACACACAAACAAGCACTTTCCTCTTTTCCTTCTCTCTCCTGCCATCCTCAATCCATGTATATGCAAGGCGAGGATACTGGTGCTGCAAAACAAGGGTTGGTTGTATGGACAGCTGCGAGGAGGCGTATCTGTATGTTAATATGTGCTTAAGAGCAAGCCGGGATATGTACTAGAATGGTTTTTAATAAGCTCCGGGAGGATTTTTTTTTTTTTTAGCTGAGAATATTTCTCAGTGACTGTATGGATGTGTGTGTAAATGTCATGGGAGCTTATGCAGAGCAACATCAAATACAATGGAAATCAGACAGTCTCACAGTCTTGGCTGGAAGCGCTGCTTGGCTTCTTCTTAGAGACAACTTAACTAACGCTCAGTATCACAAGTATGCTGACTCAGCCTTCTACTGGGGTTTTTCATGTGTCCCAACAAATCAGCAGTACATGACAAAGTGGCTGTCTCGTGGATGAAAATAATTTCATGGTATGTAAGCAGCTCAGCCATGTTTAAAATAACCATGGTGTGAAAAAAGCAGCTCTGGAGTGTTTCAGTATTACTACTACTGTCAGAAGTTGAGGTAATGCACCTATCAGCTGTTTGTAGGCCACAATTAAGGTACAAAAATAGAAGAAGAAAGCCTCACTGACTACCAGATGTTGGTAAAATATGTTGTGACGTGAACAGGAGAAAAATGCTGAGCCAAAAACTACTACAGTTGTACAAAAGTCCTGTGTGGAACACGAGAAATGAAAATGAGGACCAATGCAAACTCTCCTGCACCTAACCACTGTTATGTGAGAGTGGTTGCGGGAGGGTGGGATCATCAAAGAATGATTCCCAGAGAATCTGAATGGTGCTTTTGCTTAAAATGTCTATTCCTTCACAATGAGAATCAGTCTCAATGCCGCACCTAATAGTACCTTTAAATAGCACTTCAAAATGTGCCAGGTTTCTTATAAAATTGTCTGTTATAATCAAATTATTCATCAAGTGTTACTGAATGAGTACTTTAGTCAAACTGGCTTCAGTAAGAAAAAGAGCTTTAAAAAGACATTTGTGTATAATCTAAAAGACCGCGCATGTCTCAGTTTGGATAAAGGAGTTCTCATATTGAAAGCCAACCTATTAAAGAAGGCAATTGAAGCCATTTTCATGAACAGAGGTGCAAGTGAGACAGCAAATCACCATCAGATTGGACTTCAGGGGGTCTTTAAACTGCCAGTTTTATAGTACAAAGCACTCTGTGACGGGTGACTGCACCCATGTGAGAATCATGCAAACAACTGCTTTCGGTGAATTCACTGCAAGCTGCAAGTGGAGATCACGTATGTTACTGAGTGGATGCCATGCTTAATTACGTGTAGCAACCTTTTTCCGTCTTATAAGAACTGCAGCTTTTTATCAAACAGGAAACAGAAGAGAAAGAATATACAAAAGAAACAGGGGAAATAAACAGCGACACACTTGCCAATAACTACACAGGAACAAGGGAAGTGAAACCAAATGTGGCCTGCAGCATATGTGTGAGTTTTTAATCATCTGAAGAATGAATCAAAAAGAAATCTGAAAGGCTCACTTTGGAAAGCTCTTAAGTTAAGCAGGCTGCCAATGCAGTATGTATGTCCTTTCACTTCTTTTTATATTTTTGGGGGTTTTTTTTTACTGGGAAATCTAATAAGTATAAATCTATAGTTTTCACTAGCACAGACCCTCTGCAAACAGTGGCATAGATGACTGTCATTTACTTAAGGTTAGTCAATCTTTATTAGAGTATTAATTAAATTACAATATATAATATATTAAATTACATTTTATTATCTCAATTTATTAGAGATAAAGCCCTGGACAAAAATTAAGTTACACAGGCAAGGCCTCAACACAGACAGCACAGTACTTCTACTACCAAAGAGATGAAAATTAGAAAATCAAGGTGCAACTGAAGTGAGAGCAAGATAAAAGATTGAAGTAACAATAATTCTTGACAGAGCTGTCACTCATCCACTCCGTCAGCTGGTTGAGGTGCAATATTTGACTCACAGCCCTGGAACTGCGTTATTATTACTAATGAAGTTCTTATGTGCTCAGATAAATGGGACTATTTTAGTTCTGCTCAACTGATCTGCAGCCTTTAACGCCACACATCGTGCCTTTCTAGGTGACATATTATTGAAAAGGATTTCGTCACGCTTATCTGAGAGACACTTCAGAATCCATAACAATAAGTAAAAGTCTTCATCAGCTCCTCTGTTCTGCGGGATCCCTCAAAGCTCAATCCTTGGACCAATTATGTTTTCATTGCATACTATATCAATCCTGAATCATCTTGAGAGCATTGCTTACCTGTATTTTTCTGTTAATCCAACAAAAGGCTCTGCTACCTCAGTCAATGTTTCACTGCTATTAGTGATTGGATGTCTTCAAAATTCCTCTGTCCTAGTAAAACTGAGGCTCTTGTGTTCCAGTTCTGCTTCTCTATGGAGACTGTTCTTTACTTTAGCCCTCTCATTAGCAACATCACATCATATGATCAGAGACTTGGTGTTATTTTTCTCCATCTTTGGGCTTACAGTCTTGTTTCTTTTATCTAACAAACATCTTGCCCTTATTTCCATCCAGTGAAACTTGGAATTCATTTTTAAATTATTAGTTACATATAAAGCCCTACATTGCAAGTCTCCTGCATATACAGCAACAATGCTGACACCTTATTCCACCAGTCAGCCTGGCTGGTCTCTAGAGACTGCTCCCTGCTCCTATTTTAAATCTAGAGGCTTCTGTAGCACCTACACTTTGGAACAGCCTTTCCCAGCCCATCAGTTTTGGCTGAATCAGTGGTTTGCTTTAAACTTAGAATGATAGAATGATTTGGGGTTTCTGTACAAACCAAAGTTTTGTATGGAAATATGTAAATAACAAACTACTGTAAGACCGTAAACTTGTATGTACCTTATTCTGGGATACATACACTTATATGTTTTAAAGTGGTGCAATTTAAACCTCCCTGCTTTTACTCTGGTTGCTACCAAACTGCACCAGTTGTGAGCTGTAGCAGGGAAACGCTCTGGGATTCTGCTTTGTCGGACTTCTTTCAAGTTTCAAGTGGACACTTTCTATTTTCTAAAGGTGATTTTGAGAATCTGCTAGCAATCAAAGCAATCACAAGCTGTTTTTTGGTGTAGCCCCTTTGTGATCAAGTTTACCCAACGACAGCTAGCAAACCTCCAAAAACCAATCAACAATTGGTCGAGTAATACACATTTTTCCAGAGTAACTGGAGTTTGGGAGGGGGTTGCCAACCAGTCTCTAACCCTCTGTGACTGAGAAGTAAGGACATCCTCTTTGAATATCATAGCATTTTATATTAATTATTGTGTAAAGGATGACGAAAAGCACTGTGAACAATGAATTTGGTCCAGAGGTGATTGAGAAGATGGAGAAACTGAAGATATTTAAACAGTATATAGTTCTTGTTTTAATGTATGGGTTCCTATATTTAGCGAATGTCCAGCCAGACCTACCTGTGCATAGTCCCGCTCCAGTTGTCCTTTCTTCAGACTATAGCTCCTGCAAAAAAAAAAAAAAAAAACTTACTGAAATGTACAGAGGATAAATGAAACAACAGATAGATTCATAATGTATATATCACAACAGATAACATGTAGGAATACAGATAATAAATCATCATCAAAAGCACCAAGGCCTATTGCTTTGTTACACAGGAGGCAGAAAAAACAGACCTGATGTTTATTTTCAGTGACAGTTTGTGTACTGTGTGTTCATTATGATGAGAAAGCACAAATGCTGCAATCCCACCGAGTATGCCAGGGGAGAGCTTGGTGACCACAACATTATGCAAGGATGGAATTACCACTTTCTCTTTATTTCTCAACAACTCTTTCTAAAAATACCTTCTGAATTTATGACCCACACAAAGGAAAAACTCGTATGACCTTTCCCCTCGCCCTGTTGATACGAGTCAACAACATCCTGGAAGTGAAGAGACAGTGAAAGCTCTTATCACAGCCCAACATTATGCAGAATTAAAAACATAACATTACATATGTGATTACACAAACAGATACATATTTTGGCCATGAATGTGAATGGACAAAGCATCATGTACAGTTGATTGGATCTAAATATTTTTATATATATCTCACTATGCGTGTGTAACATGTATTCTCGAGTTAAATGCATAGTTCATCAGATGCAAGCCCAGCTAACTAACTCAATACCACTTTTAAAGCTTTTTACAAATCTTATCACATTTTTCACTGTGATTTATTTCTTAAAATCTTGCAAGGGGGTTTCTGTGGATGGTTACTGGAGCTGTTAAAAAACAGTTATTACAGTACAATAGCTCCATATTGGAAAAAAGTGTTGTATATTAGTTGGCGCTAATAGCAAAAAGGTCTACTAGAGTTAGAAAAATATTATTAAACCAAAAAGTGCATCAAAAGGCACTGCTGGGATTTGAACCAAGGATCTCCTGTTTACTAGACAGGCACTTTAACCAACTAAGTCACAGCCACTGCCAAATCAGGCACTCTGCTTCCTGTACACTTATTAATGATTATGATTGGTCAGTTGCTGCCAATGCCACCCACCCCTGAGAGAGCTGAAGAGAGGCATGGAGGCTAAGCAGGAATGCCATTCAACATTTTTTTCAAAAGAAGTTCAGGTCAGACCAGAAAAAAGCCATGGACCAATTCTACTAACACACATTTTTAGCTATTCTAAAAGTTATGACTGAAATGATGATCACATGAATTTTATTTTGCTATTAAAGACTTGTATTAGCAGAAATAAATAACTTGATGTATGCCACCTAAGAGAAAAGACTGCAGGCATTTTCCTCCTGCTCTGGGTTGCTAATGTGGATGGAGACTCTTTGGAAAAAAACACTAGTGTGGATGAGAGTTATTCTCACATGTAAATGAGGGTATTGTGTTTAGGTGTCAAGAATAACCTAATCATTAGCATTAACCTTTAGTTCATTCACATGTAGATATCCAGAGCTCTGTGGCCCATGCAGAAGCACACTTGATCACACTTGAGTAACTTGTTCAGGCTTTATTGGACACAGACTTTTACAAAGATTATTCTTTGCGTGAAACAACAAATAGCAGATTGGCAGAAATATGAGCCTCAGTTAAAGTTGGGGGGTGGGGTGGGACGAGGGGGGCATGAAAACATGACAAAATATAAACTACTACCAGAAATAATCTGTATCTGGAAGAAGACGTATACTGACTCCATTATAGGCATTACAAACTGGTGCTTACACCCACTCAAGATACCTTCGGAGCAGCACTGCTGTAGCTCAATGTTAATTTAACATGGCTTTGAGAAATAAGCACCATTATACCCTAGTTTTGAAAACGCAATAGCTCGAGGCTTTTTGCTTTGTATCATCAGATAAAGCAGCGCAGGGTACATTCAGTCCCAGTATGTATCCCATGTTGACATTGCTGGAATAATTACAACCACACTTCTTATTATTGTACAATATATTTTAACTTCAAGTCACCGAACCAATGCTGTCTTAAATCCGATCAAGACAACAGACTGTTAACAGCTAAAATTAAGTACCATCAGGAAAGACGAACAGTGGAAGAAGACACAGAGGGGAAGACAACACTGTAAGAGTAGACAGCATAATTACCACCAATGGCCTGCATGATAATTACAGCCCAAACAAATAGGGTAGTGCTTCGTGTCAAACCTTTCCCCAGGCATCATTTCTGTGTTAAAGCTGCTATATCCAGTCTGGTTTCCAAACACAGGCTGCTTAGCAAATTTCTTTTAAATAAGAGACTGTAGTAAACCTGCACCATTGCCATTTATCACTGATCTGCTGCAAGAGGCTGGAGCATGTGTTTACTGTTTAACCACGCCCCGTGCTTGTCTGCTGAAATACGACACGCACACTCCCCCAAACAGGCCTGTCCACATGTGGGCTTAGTGTCCGCTCTCTGAAAGGGACACACGCTTTTGCAGCACAGACACACACACAGGCCTCGTTGGCGCAGTAGGCAGCGCGTCAGTCTCATAATCTGAAGGTCGTGAGTTCAAGCCTCACACGGGGCAGATGTTTTAAAATTGTCAACTAAGCAAAATAGTAAAGCAATGTGCCTTGAAGTGAAACATCGGACAGATTTCTTGCATTACATGTTACTGAGTCACAGAGGCATGCTCCTGCTAGTTGCTCAACAACCACGTTTGAATACCTTGACAAACTTGTTAATTATACCTTGAAAAATCTTTCCTGCCTTTAAGGCAAAGCACACTCAAGAAACCACAGTGCTTTCACTTCACTCATAAAAACAACTGTCTAAACTAAACTAAAATCATTTCATTCTCCATGCTAAAGAAGGAAAAAGTATAGTTCTCATAAATACAAATAACAGGGCCACTCCTTATAAAGCTGTCCTAATGGCCATGTTTTGGGCTCTAGGGCTTCTGTGATAATTAAATATATTAGTATATAATCTCAATTGATAGCCAAGGTTAACATAGGTGGAATTAATGGTATTCAGGGTGTTTGTATCACATTGCATAGGTCTATGGTTACACACATTGAGTGACATTCTTGCAAGCTTCATGCATCAGCCTTAAGGCAATGGCTCAAATGTTCTGATGAAAAAGAATGGGAGAGTCATCATAGAGTAAAAAATAAATACATTTTAAGAATCATCTATCAGTACCAATTAGATGCGTGTTCCTCTGTTTTTTCCATAGCAGGGGCTAAGCTTAAGGGCAAACAACAGTACAAGCACAAACAAGTTACTCCTATAACTGGTTGTACTTTATCATGATGCACATGCGCTGCCACAACACTGCATTGCTGACAATGAGTGCAGGATTTCCTTCTTTGACCAGAACAGACACAGTATCTGCTGGTGTCTTAAATCGTCCAAGAGTGTGCAAGTGTCTTAAATTACTTGGTACTAAATAGCAATGGAAAAAAAAATTATTGAACAAGTGTAGCGGAATTGGAACGAAAGGCACTGCTGGGATTCGAACCCAGGATCTCCTGTTTACTAGACAGGCGCTTTAACCAACTAAGCCACAGCGCCTACACAAAGAGACAACAGGATATCAATTCAGTGAGGTAATCCATCCACAATACGAGGTTAGTCATTAATATACTGCAACAACATGGGAATAGAGCAGCTGCGAGAGAATTCAACATTAATAATCAATGGTACGGAAGTGGAGGAAGCAAGAAGAATGAGTTGAGTAAAGTTTGACTTATCTGACTGTTTTGTTTCGCTTAATGCACCTTATAATCCGGTGCGCCTTATATATGAAAACAGACCTGCCATGGAAAAGAGCAACTCAAGTCAAAGCATTAGAAAATCAACTGCCTGTTCTTTTTGAGTTTAACACACTACGGCAAGATGCACAAGATTACTGCACTAGATGTTATGGTCCTGCTCCTGCAAGCTCTCCTGGAACTGCGTTGGATGACCTAATCTCATACTGTGAAAAAGCAGTTGGTATACCTTGTTGGTATAAGAGAATCCTTGCTGTTTTTAAGGCAAATAAGCTAGGTGCAGCTTTCAGCAGTTTTCAATTTCTTCTGTATGACCAATCTCCTAAAAAGATTTAAACTAACATGCTTAACTTTCAATAGCTCCAAATGGCTGTAATGTCTAGTTTCTGGATCTGTCACCTGAACATATCACAGCACATATGGAAACATGACTGCTGGCTCTATTCACACACAATCGATCCTGCAAGCCTGAAACATACAAGTCAGAAAATACAAACACAGAAATGCTGACAAACACTCATCCTAGGTGGGATCTTTGGACATGTCTGGGCTTTTCATGCTGCCATGGTTACAATCCAGTGGAGCCAGCATATGTAAACATCCAACACCCAATTATCAGCTCGAAATGTCATTCACACCCATTTTGCACATTTATGAGAAACTGTGTTCCTAAAAAAGTCAAAATAAGCAGAATAGGCATTTCAGAGTGAGGTCTAAAAAGTTATATAGATTTAAGTAGTTGTCTATTTGAAGATTATACCGTACTTCATGTTTGTGTCTATCTGCATTTGCCTTCTTCACCCCCTACATTTATTCAGCTAACAATTCACATCTATCCCTTGAAAACCTCTCCATACCTTCACTGCACCTCTATTTCGTGCCTCTCTCCCCTGCTCTGACCCTTTCTCTCTGGCTTGATGCACTCTGCTTCTTAAATACTTTTTCTCTACCCTGCTCCTTTTGTCCGCCCACCACGGGCGCGTGTGCGTAACTGAATGGTGTACGAGTCAAAAAGCCAGCATGTCAGCATCAGCTGTGTGTGAAGAAGAAAGGGAGGGATAAAATGTGCAGGCTTGCAGATGAGTGTGTGTCTGACAGGAAATACTTAAGAGCCTGAGAGTGGACACAGTGGATGTGTGTGTTTGTATGTCTGTGCGTGAGTGTTGAGGGCAAGAGGAGCAAGAGGCTGAAAAGCAGAGAGAGGAAATGATCAAACATGAGAAAACAGCTGAGGTCAATGGTTAACGGGACACAGACTGAGATCAGTGACAAAAGGATAAGCAAC